AATGGCATACTGCATAAGAGGTCTGGGTGGGTCACTAAACTGAGACTCCGTTAAATTGATCAACCATTCGCAGCCGCTCCACAGAGCGCAGCTGATGCTGTTTAGAAAAAAGTGGTTAACGATTTATGGTACATGGCGTCCTACTATGGGAGAGGATATATCCGTCCCATGACGTTAACGTCGAACGTCTTGTGTGTCTAGAAAAAGTTGCCGACGATTTGGAGTACGCGGTACTCTACTATGGAAGAACATAAGCCGTCCCGTTGGCCCACTTGATGAGGCATGGCTGTCGCCCTTAGTCAAGAAAAAGACACTAAAAGGGTACTGAGAGCAACCATATGCTGCAGTTTCTTAGATATGCTATCTGAAACAGCCATGATGATTGGTCTGAATACTCCGCCAAATTACGTAACAATATATGCAGGTGAAAACACGCTGCTGTTATATGTAAAATTAGTTGCCATGCGATTTGTGTATATGCTTCATTCTTTAGGCTATATTTTTCAATTGTGGGTAATAATACCTTCTAAGCTAGACTACAGAGGTTTCAGGCTGACGTCGATATAAAGATAAAAATAAGGAACGTATGCTTGAGGGTGTATGTCGAGGAAAAAAATGCCAGCATATCCACGGAGTGAATGATGGAGAGTGGGGCGAAGCATTCGTCCGTCCATTCGTTCTTTCTTCCGTCCGTCCGCGCGTTCCTCTGTGTGACCATCCATGCGTGCGTCTGTTCATGCGTCTGCACATGCATCCGTGCGTTCGTCCCTGCTTTCGTCCTTGCATCCGCCCCTGCGTCCGTCCATGCGTCCATCTGTCCATGCAGTCATCCGTGCGTCCGTCCATGCACCTGTCTGTGTGTCCGTTCGTCCATCTAGTCAACACTCCAAGTACCACTATCTCGCATCTTTTCATCATATATTCCCCATATAGAAACACCGCCATTCAGTGGACATTAAAAGAACTAAACGAGAGGTGGCACACAAACACTTTCTCACGACTTGCGCTTCGTGTCTATTTCCCATCTTTAACCACCTCGAGTTCATGGAATATACTAGTTCACTGTATTCATGGCACTGCGGCCCAACGCTCGCTGAACCTTTCTAAAACCAAGGAGCTTACGCCCAGCGAGTATAACGTAGCAACCCTTTCTTGTCAGATAGTGCTCATTGTACATGGCAATGGCTTCTAATGGGGAATGAGAGACAGGAGAATTCGGCTTTTAGTTAACGCGCACGCTGCGAAGTTGTTGTTGTTCAACAACGCAGAAGAGAAATCTCCCACCGGCACCACCTTGCAGGTAAAAACGTAAGACTGGTTACACACTACGACTACGACTACGACTACTACGAGGGACAAACGGGTGCCACTTTAAGGAGCTTCGCCCCAAAAAGACAAGTCACGTAAAGAGTCTGCGCATTATTTTCTCTTACGAGATATCTGATAACATATAGCACTAATATATTGCACTATATTCATGGCACATCGCAGTGATAATGCACACCGGAAAAATCATGCGCTACGTTTATTCAAGAGATGTTTGTGTTACCTAACAACTGTAATTGGCGTTGTATGAATGCAAGAAAAAAAACATGAAGATGGGAAGAAACTTTCATCTCTCACGAACGAAGGGTAACACCTATCAGATCACATGCCTATATACATGAGCGGTTTTGTATGATTATCTGCCTTTGTTTGGGAGTTTTTAGACAACTGCCCATGCAGATAAGCATGTGACTGGAGATAGGTATGACCTGCCTTTCCTTGTACCTCTCTTTCTTTTCGAATAACTGAAGGTTTTTAGATCGTGAGGTCATCGGTTGATCAGCCATTTTTTGATATGGGAAATGGACCTTTGACTGAGAATATGGATGTGACTTTCAGTTTTCCGATGCCACAATTTCTTGTAGCTTTCATATGAATGCATGTAACTTAAGTGTTGCACTGGTTTCGCTTCTAATCACGTGAAGGAAGTTCTAATGCCCAATGATTGAAAGAAAAACTTTAGAGGGAATTCTATAAAGGACCCTCGAACGCTCTTAAAAGCTCTATTGCTTAATATTTTTTTACTTGTGGGCTGTGTAGACTGAAGGCTGGAGAGATTAGTGCAGCAAGATGAGCAGCAATAGGGGCAGGCGGTTTGAATATACATTTAGCCTGAATAATTCAAGATACAATAAAATGGGCACCCACAATCAATTTATGTTTAGACAGATACCGGGACCACGTGTCCCCCACCACATAAGTTGGAGGGTGCCCCAAATATTTGAACTGAAAGATCCTACGTGCGTACTTTCCCGCATTGCAACATGCATGGCTTTACAGCGCATCTCCAGGAATGCGTTGTATGTAGTTCTGCTGGAGTACATAAATATGCAGCACTTGAAACAGTGAGGAGGCGTATAGCTTTGGCCTAGCTTGCAGGGAGCCGGCACAGGGGCAAGATACCAAAGCATCGCTCTAAAGGCCGGTAGAAACCGGCAACTAGCAGCGGTCCCGCGACCATTTGCGACTGGTCGCAAACAGTCGCGAACGGTCGCAAACGGTCGCAAAGCGACTGCTTTGGCGAGTCGCTTCGTGACCAATTTTTCAGTCGCATGACTGCGGCCGCAAAGCTGCTGGAACAAATTAGCGATGCTCAATTTTCGTTGTTGGTTTTTTCATTGCGCTGGCGAGAACGGATAAAAACAAGAAATGTGGCGCGTTCGGTTTGCTCCGCTCATTCAGTTGGCGGCGATCAGCTGATCGGCGCTGGTCTCCAGAGTTCTAACTGATAACGAGATCCGGACGTGACTCTCCGCTATTGCGACTTCCGGTCGGTCATATGCAGCCTGTGCCGGTGTGAACATCAGTCACTTTTTGTCACCAGTCGCAAATGGTCACGTGACCACTGATAGTCGCTGGTGTACACCAGCCTTAAAATACGGTGTTTCTTAATTAAAATAAAATTAAACTGCCTGTCATTCAGTTTGTATTGCTAAAATGATTGTACTCAGACCCTGTGCCCACTTTCAAGGGGATGGAAACCTCTTTAGCTTGGTGCAGTCGTATGAGTTAACAAGAAAAAAAAAAGAAACGCCAGGTCTGCGCGGAACGTGCTGCACTGTCACAGCGAAAGCTGGAAGAGCGCCCTTTCAGAGCCTTTGCTTACAGTATTTGTGCACCTTTCGCGCACAATGACTCTGAAAGGGCAGGCTCCCTTGTGCGTCTTTGCCGAGAAGAAAGACTTCTGTCAGAGCCTCAGCTTTCTTGATTGACATAGCCGATTTCTCTAGCTCCGCATCATTGCACAACTGCACTGCCCGCTTCTTGAGAGTCATTGTGAGCGAAAAAGGCAATTGGCAGCGTTCGCAAGGTCTGTCCCTCCAGTGGTGTCTGTCATTCTTAACCACAAATGACCCGTTTCTTTTTAGAAGACCAAATAAGGTTGACTTGTTCATAGGCAAGCTTGGAAACACGTGGGTTGGAGCGTTCTCTGCGGATATCAAGGATCTATATTGCTCCCTACCTCAGGATCCCATATGTCAAGCTGTCAGCGAAGGCATCGAAGAACACGGCACCGTTCGGTTTCGAAATTCCTGTGGCACCAACACGTCAGCCTTCGTGGAGTTGCTGCTGTTCTACCTCCGTTCTGCGTTCGTCGAACATGAAGGTCGTCTGTATATCCAGAATGAGGGTATATGCGTAGGCCCCTGTCTTGCCCCCGTTTTGAGCGATTCGCTTCTGGCTCGCCTCGTTAGGCAGCTGCAGGACGTCCTTTCAGGCCACAGTGTACTGAAGGTCTCAGATTTGTGGATGATTTACTGGTGCTCTTCAGGCTTGACAGTTCAATCGATGAAGAATCACAGCAAACATTTGGCGTGCTCGCGGCCATTCTCAACGCATTCACATTAACCATGAAACTCCCCAATGACGACTGCTTAAGGTTTTTAGACTTGGTGCTGCCTTTTGGTGGACTGCTCACCTGCGTGGTGTATGCGCTGAGGTCACAGAAGGGCCTTTTTCAGGTCAATTCAGCGCATACAAAGCTTTTGAAGTGCGCAGTTGGCTTAGGTGTTTTCAGGAGTGCTTTGAAGAGGTGCTGCCCTCGCCAAGTGTAGCACCTCTTCAGAGAACCTTTGGCGCCCAGGTCAAGCGACTGAAACGGGCCGGCTACCCGACTGAACTACTCAGTGCCTTGGCAACAATTATATCGAGCGAGCTCTAGAAACTTGGCTCCAGGACATGCCCAACGCAGGAAAGACAGAAAATTTCTGTCATCCCTTACGTACACGGTTTGAGCCATGCACCCAAGAATATTGTTGGGAATAGACGTAGGACTCGTTTTCTCGCCACCTCCTAAGCTTGGCTGCCTTTGCAAGAAAGTGAACCATGACAATCCCAAGGAGCATGCATGCATCAAGAAACACAGGACGCAGTACGTTGAGCGTGTGAGCGACGTAGTGTACGACATTCTGTTGTCCTGTGGTCTGTCCTATACTGGACACACCGGTCGCTGTTTGAACGACCGCCGGAGAGAGCACGCAAATAGTCTCAGGACTTCAACAAGAAGCACCTTGGCAGCCCATTGCTCCTTGTGTGGCTGCGTCCCGCTCTTTCATGAATGCAAGATACTCTCAAGCTATCGTAACAATACAGAGCGCGAAATTAACGAGGCTTTTCATATCGAGACGAAAGAAAACATGTGCGTCAGTGGGCCTTCACTCGCCCTCCTAGAAAAAGAGATAGTGTTTTTGGGCAGTTAGCTTGTACTTTTCGACTCGTGGCAGATTCCTTTTTGCCTTTCACTTTTATATGTACGTGATAGTTTTTGTTCTTGTTTTCAGCGATATATTTCCAGGTGTAATTAATTTACGCACAATTGTTCATCAGCACTTGTGTCGTGTAATCAATCTTTCTGCGTCCCATTTTTTGTGCTGTTACCCTCATTATCAAGTTCGCTTGCGACTAGGGAAACAGGAGACTCGTAATATTGCCCTCAAAATAAAATAAGCTATAACTTTTTCAGCTTCTCTCGGTGCGAAACAATGCTTTATTTGGCTGAACTTCTTTGACTTTCGTTGCGAAGTCGAACTGCGATGTCACGATCCATCCTTCAGCTTTTCTAGACGAATCCAGACTCCATTCACAGGACGAGTGATGAAGAAGCATGTGTGCCTTTTCAGTTCACCCTGTTGAAAAGACAACAGATGCAATGACAAAAAAGTGTGTTAATGTATTCAGGACATTTAAAGGCAGAGTAAAGAAGCTCATTAAAGTGTTTGCTCTACAAATTAAATAGCCTTCATTTAGCTGAATAAATTTTTCGAAGTATTTATTAGAACTCCTGGGGATGCTGTCTTACACATATTTGTGCCCCTTCTCCTTCCTATCTTACTTATCTCTCTGAAAAGAACTGATAGAAAATGGCAATTAACTCAAACAAGCCATGTACAATACCAGCAGTCGCCCTCCCACCCAAAATCAGTAATAATTTTTGTGTAGTTAAGCGTAGTAGTGTTAGTAGGCAGTGCTTGAAGCTGTGACGTTATGGTTGAAACACTTTTTTTTTGTGAGCTGGTGCAACGTGGCGCGTGTTATATTTTAACAATAAGCAAAGGAATCGAGACAGAGTTGAAAAAACCAATTGCGCATAATTGACAAAAGCTTGTTCTGCTGCACGGATTCAACTTGTGTCCAAGTCCTTTCGGACCCGTTCGCTCTGCCGAATGAGCGTAGCAACATGCTGGGGATTGAGCTTTCAATCCATTCTTTTTTAGCCTACTAATTGCTTGCTTCGTGGTCAGCTAAATCGCAGAGAACCCCGTACAGGCGTTACATTTATCCAACTCTCGAATTTATACTTCGGAGCAGAACAAACCCTCCGTAATCTACGAAGATCTTCTCTATAGCCTTGAGCCGTATTCGGGTCGTTGGTGATGTTTTCTTCCTCATATCTCCTTTAGGGACGAATTGTAGAGCACTGTCTGCGACTACGCAAGTCTCACAATGTAATTTTAAAGCGTTTCATATCACAATAAAACAAATAAAGGCCGAGTACTAATTTGTTTTGTAATAATTGTAGTAATTATTGGTAAATACAATATATTTTGCATTTATTATTGTGCACCTATTTATTTCTTTTTATTTTTACTGTTACATAAAAGTATCATCGCCTCGAAATGCATGCGTGACTTGTTTTCAGTAGTGTTCAATTACAGAAAAGAAAGAAAGTACTACTTGTGAACTTCTATTTGAAAGCATCACGTTGAACGACACACACAATGAACTGCGTAAATGTCATAATGGAAGCAGCCGCCCGCCGTCATACGCAGCGCATTATTGCTTAGTCCTTACACAATGCGTGATTTATTCTATGCGTAAGTTACCTTGTCATTTCATGGCGACTGGTACAAACAATTCACAAGAAAACACGGCATATCCACGAAGTGAATGATGATGAGTGGGCGAAGCAGTAAGATCGTTCGGCGTTAGCGTAAATCACTCGTGACATTGACCACTCCCGCATGTAAATGAGTGGTGACAAAGTGGCGTACAGTTATACCCAATGTTTATTGGTCATCAATGGTATGTTGAGTGGAGTTGTAAATTTCATTTTGACTTCATTATTCCTTCTTTGTGGTATTGTATGCAGCCGGAAGTTGGTAATGACGAGGTCGTGTGTGCACGTTCCCCTGGTGGTTGGTTATTTGCAGTAACATGAAATGCATCGTTGAGAATATGAAGACGTCATATACTGCACAAGCCACTACTTGACTGTGATCATTACCATCACCATCTTCCCCTTCCTCATTGTCATCGTCATGGCGTATAGTGGATACCATGCACGAGCCCGGATACGGCCAACAGTGAAGCCAACGCCAATGTCAGCGCACAAGCCACGAACTTAAGAAGCTTCGTCCTACAATTTTCAAACACGTATGTGGATATTTCTCCTCAAAGGGATAAGAGAGGGAAAGATATAGTAATGACAGTGAGGTGAAGCGAGGTATACCCTCCAGTTTGTTACCCTGTACTTGGGATGAGAAAAGAGAGCATAAAAAGATGAAAAAGAATAAGAAAAGCTCGTGACGACAGTAAGCAACAAAACAAAGATAATAGATGACACATCACTATTCAAAATACTACTCGCAAAGAGCTACAGTTTATCCCTCCGTCCGGTTGCTTGATGAAACCGCGACAACACCACCAGAGCACCTCGTGGTACACACCGCATAGGCCAGAGCACTGGTGTTTTATTTTATGTGATGGGGCTGTTGTGCAGTTGGTCTAGTGCAGCTATGAGGGCCGCCGTTTCGAATCGATAGCGGCGGACAGTGAAGGTGGGTGGTTGTTTAGCTGCAACCACAGTTTTAAAATGAGGGGTTGTGAGGCATTCAAAGAACAAAGGAATAAGGGATGTTTGTACAGTTTTGGTAGTTTTTCCCAATTTAGAAAGCCAGGCCCAAAGGCTTGAGGTAAAACGTCAGGTCTTTGCAGGAAATCCCTTGGGCCATGGCCTATCACAAGCCGTTGCTTATCAGCCGCGTCCATATACTAAGATAGTCTACTCAACCGACGCACGCGGAGCTGGCGAGCTGCGCAAGACGAGTACGATTGACGAAGGCCCACGCTTCTACCAGGCGTGCCACAAACCAGCTTTGCACGTTCGTTAGTTCTGGCGTTGGAGTTGGGACACTCTGGCAAGATCTGCGACAGGCTGTAGTTGGACTATTCATTGCCTACGCCAAGAAAAAGACCTAGCATAGCCAAGAGGGCCATATTATAATCTTTGCAGGTAGCTATCTTCACTTTTTTAGGCTTTACATAAATAGGGTAAAGTGCTTCTTTTTTATGAAGAAAGGTTACTCTCTACCTTTCCGTGTTTTGAGCTTAGGTGTAGCCGGAATCGGTGCACCAGCTTGGCAACGACGAGTGTCATTTCAAGCTGCGCCAGCTTCATGCCAACGCAGTTTCGAGGTCCAATGCCATATGCCTGGAAGGCAAGTGGGTCTCTGGAAGCCCTCTGTTCGGGTGAGAACCTGCGGCAAGCAAGTGAAACACCAAATGACCTGACAAGCAATACATTTCCCTATTTTTGCCGTCTGACCAGCTTAAGGGGGAGGGGCGGGGGCTCATTTGACAAGGAACAAAGATGCGTGGGCCTCTTATTTGCCTCAGCCAAGTACGGGCTTCCAACGGGAAGCTTACTCTTAGTTCCGTTTTAAGATTAGTTACTCTCTTTTCATATATAAACCCATGAAACCCCTAGAATTGATGTACATGATATCAGGGACATAAATATGTTGTTGCTGTGATCGGGTTCTGGCCCTTTGTTGCCGGGGGCCCATTTTAGCCGTATGCCTATACAGGGTGTCCCACGTAACTTTAGCTAGAGTTTAAAAATATGCCGGAACACGTAACTACGACGCGACCAATGGCATGTTGTTCACCACTGCCTGTAGTTAGTAAGACAGTTTTTCGTGTTCTGAATTATTGTTTAATTAGGTATATTTAATTAGCTAACTCTTGAAGGAACAAAGATGGATAAAAACTTTCAATGAGAAAGTTCTAGATCGAATTGCAAAACGTCCAAATAGATAGTTTGGAACTTTATATATTTTAAGTATTCGTGTTTTTCTCCTAATCAAAAATGTCCGCAAAATACAACAAATACCACGTGACAAATCCGCTCGCGCGTCGGTGTGCACGATGATTCTGGTGCTCGCTAACGTTCCGCGTACGAACGACACGCTTCCCTCGCAACAGTTCATGACAGTGATAAGCAGTCAAAGCGGTTATCGTTTTTGTGGCCGATAGCAGAGCGTGTTCATCGTAAAGCCACCCCCATCGCTGCGACCCTGCAGAGACAGCGCAATGGGGCAAATGCTATGGTTGTTCATACGCAGAACGTCAAGGAGCAGTGGAAACATTGTGCGCACTGGCGCACAAGCGGGTTTGTCACATGGTATATTTTGTATTTCGCGGGCTTTGATTGATTGATATGTGGGGTTTAACGTCCCAAAACCACCATATGATTATGAGAGACGCCGTAGTGGAGGGCTCCGGAAATTTTGACCACCTGGGGTTCTTTAACGTTCGCGGGCTTTTCTAATTAGCAGAAAAACAATAATACCTAACAGATATAGAGTTCAAAACTGTCGAAACGGACGTTTTGCGAACCGATCTACGACTTTCTCATTGAAATTTTCTATCAATCTTTGTTTCTTGAAAAGTAAGTTAATTTAACATATCTGATTAAACAATATTTCAGAACATAATATATGGTCTGAATAACTCCAGGCAATCGTGAGCAACATGCGTTTGGTCGTGTCGTAATTACGCGTTTCAGCATATTTTTCAACTCTGGCTAAAGTGACGTGGGATACCCTGTATACGGTATCTCTTGAACGAAGTGTAGCCGTCACTTAGAAACACAAAGGTGCCCGACTAAAGGTGGGGGTATTCCTTTAGATTTTATACGGCTGACGTATTACCCTAAAACAAAATCAGGGGTGGGGGAGAAGGACGAGAGGGCACACTTTGCCTTCTTGTGACCGAAGCCTGGGAAAGAGAGATTTAGCTTGTCCATGGTCTCAAATAATCTCTGGTACGCCACCGTGCCCCCGTATGAATCCTAAGCCGGAACCGGGTCTTTTTTCAAACACTGCGGTGAGTACACGTGTACCATTTCAGATAAACATAACCTTGACAATCAGTTATCACTTCCACAGATGTGCCCAGGGTTAACCATCAGAAGATGGCGAAGGTTAATTGCAGCGCCCTGCTCCCTTACTCAATGTACGGAACCGATTTTGCGCCCCCTTCTCCTTAGGTTAGTTGAAGAAGCCCCGGACCGATTAATACTTTTATCATCCCGGTGTGAGAAGGAAACTCACCTGTCTGGATCAAATTGATCCGGCCTCTCCCATACGTTAGGGTCATGGTGAACCTGATGACTGCAGGCCATGACGCTCACACCTTTCTTCAGTAGCACACCCTCGTAGCGGTAGTCAGAGGACGCGAGTCTTGTCGTAAACCTGCGGTGATAGATAATAACAGGCCTGTGCTGAACACCCAGCAGGGTTGTTGATTCCATCGCGAATGCTGACGGACCACCGCACGGAGAAAAAAATTGGCAGATCTTACGTACAGTGGGAACCAACGATATGCGAAGCACGAATGAGAAATGTATATATGTCACTTTAAAATAAGCACGACGTTAGGAGGTGGAGGTATATGATACGGTACATGACTTCCTATTCATGATTATCGTGTTTGGATGCATCGTTTACCTTCGTCATCAATTCACGTCACGTGATACCAAATTTAGTATAAGTGGAGCTACAAAACGGCCGCGAGCATGCTATGAGCGTGGTGTGTTGTCATGTTCTTACATGACACGTACGTCAGGATTATTATGTTTGAACCAGTCATATATTTCGTCATCCATTAGCGTCTCGTAACACTAAATTAGGTATATGTGAAGCTAGCAAAACGCCCGCAAGCGCATCATGAAGGACCCAATATACTCCAATTGGTATCGTGGACGTGCGCGCACGCTGGTCACAGCAACGCTACGTTACCAAAACGCGAGCACTTTATAGTCTGACGCCGGGCGCGACCAGCGCGCGGCCCGACGACAACCGGCGTGAAATGCGACATGCTGCATTTCGCACCCATGCGTTACCCAGACAACACTGCGCCTCCATCTTTTCGTGATGGTGGGACGCCGTATGCGCTGAAATGCGCATGTGCCAGAGCAACGCAGCGTGGCGCGCGCCTGCGAGCATATGGCAGAACCAGCGCCTGTCGTGGCGACGCTGGCATGACGCGACGAACTGAACGCCGGCGAGCACGCTAACCGCGTCACGTCGAAATGTATTGGCGCCTTGACTGTGGCGTGTAGTCATGTTCTCAAATGACAGGCATCTCACGATTATCATGTTTGCACCAGTCACATACCTTCGGCATCCGTTGGCGTCACGTACTACCAAATTTGGCATATGTGGCGCTAACGAAACGGCCGCGAACGCATCATGAGTGTGTTATGTAGTCTTGTTACATGGCACGCATGTCATGATTAACATGCTTGGATGTGTCATTGACCTATGTCGTCCATTCGCGTCACGTAATATCGAATTTGGTACATGGCATGCTAGCGAAACAGCCGTGAGCGCATGATGAGCATAGCATGTATTCATGTTGTTACATGACACGCATTTTATGTGGATCATGTTTGACCAGTATCATACCTTCATCATCCATTCACGTCCCGTAATACCAAGTTTGGTATAAGTGAAGCTCGCGAAACAGCCGCCAGCGCATCATGAGTGCGGCATGTAGTCATGTTGTTACATGACACGCATCTCATCATTATCATGCTTGCACCAGTCACATACCTTCGTCTATCATTCAAGTACTGTAATACCGAATTTGGTATATGTGACGCAAGCAAAACGACCGCGAGCGCTTCATGAGCATGGCACGCAGTCATGTTGTTACATGACACGCATGTCATGAATTTCATGTTAGGGTGTGTCGCTTGTGTTCGCCATGCAATCACGCGATACCATACCAGTTTGGCAACTTGACATGTGAACGAAATCACCGGAAGAGCTGCAGGGCTATGAAATGTAAGCCATGACATTCATGACATCCATCTCATGATTTTCATGTTATGACTAGTCAAAATGTACTTCATACAGTCATGTTATGCCATACCATATTTGTTATCGATACCACTATCGAAACGGCCAGGAGAACTAAAAGTCGTAAGCGGCTAGATAGATAGATAGTTAGATAGATAGAGAGATAGATAGATAGATAGATAGATAGATAGATAGATAGATAGATAGATAGATAGATAGATAGATAGATAGATAGATAGATACGCTCAAAGTCACCGAAGTTCGTTATGAAATGCTTCGCATTTAAAAAGAAACACAAAAACGTGAGAAGAGAAATGGGGGCATTAGAGTAGCAACAGGGGTTTTATGTCTCATACAGTTAAAATAAAAGCCTCTCTTCACGGTACAGGCTTCTTCTACGGCTGCTCCACGCCATATCCTATACATTAAGGGGCCGAAAGTCGGGATAGACGAAGCGATCACTACGAGTGGCCTGGATGACATGGACAAGCTCAAGGCTAAATGAACTACACGACAATCCCTGAACAGCCAGATCATCAAAGAAGCAAGAGCCCTACTTCACAATGACACTATGAAGCATGAACAGCTCGATTGCATTTACGAAAGGAGGACAGGGACAGTCAGATTAATAGACAGATTTAGTTGTGCGTCCGCAACAGCCATACGGACGCGGCGTGACATTGCAAATGACTAGCAGGCTGCGTCCGTACGACTGCTGCGGACGCGTGACTAAATATGTCTCGTACCAGGTTCTTCGTGGCCCCCACGTTGTGAATAAAAGCATTTTTATTGCGATATAAATTATACAGACACTCTCCGCTGGATTCTGCCGTCGGATTCGGTGTCGACATCGATGTCGCCGCAACTCACCGTATATGTATAGGTATCTATATATATGTAAATGCTAGAAAGAAAAATAATTGAGAAAGACTCTGGTGCGTGGAATCAAACGTGAGCCCTCTGAATCATATACGCGAGGCGTTCCCGACTGAGCCATGGAGGAGCACCTCCTTCAACACTCAAACAGCAAGCTAATTATATTTATTAGTTACCACTGTTGACGGGCATCTCGGGGGGAACTTTCGTGTTTTCAGCATTACAAGCAAGGTGGTGCAATGAGAGCGCGTCGCCAGATTGTCATGTAGTGGCGGCACGTGCTCTCATTCTCGCGCGTATTTCGCCGCACGCAGAGGAGGAGGGTGGACGCTCACTCGCGCACTTTTATCTCGCGGTAAGGAGGATCGTACAACTTGGCTGACCTTCGGCTTTCACTGGAACGATTCTGTTGAAGTTACCGGGCGCACGAAAGTCACTGCCATTATCGCACCGTTTCTGTTTGCAAAAAGAGTGTGCTTTTCAGACACAGCGAAGTAACAACTGAAACGCTCAGTCACGTTCATCTGTACCTGAGAGTATGTTTCGTGCGTCATTTGTGCGTGAGAAACGTGAAACACGTTTCTATCTGCTTGCGACTTGGCACGTTGCTTTCGAATTCGTTGCTATCGCGTTCATTGCTTCGCCTTTGCGGCATAGCTGGGAATTTTTTTAACTACCTCAACGGAATAGAGTTTTTTTACGGCTGCTCCACGCCATATCGAACACAAGCGCTACAGAGTGAGCTGGAGGAGTGGTTTTCTTAGCGCCCGTTGTAAACTGTCTTAAGGTACGCCACCGCCATGGTGGAGCAGTGGCTACGGCGCGTGGCAGCTGACCCGAAAGTCACGGGTTTGGTCCCAGCCATTGCAGTCGCGTTCGATGAATGGCAAATGTTATAGGCCCGTGTGCTGTGTGGTGTCTGAGCACGTTAAAGAACATCATATGGTAAAATTTGCTGAGCCGTTCATTAGTGGCTTCTCTCATAACTCCTTCAGTGGAATTGGCTACGTTCATGTAAGCAACTTTTTTACGCTGGTGTCATGAACCTAATGTCAGATGAGAATGAGATACATTGCTCATTGGACGAATTCAACATTCTCCAAGTCAAACTGTCCCGAGTTGACTTCTGTGTGCTGCATCTAACTGCAGCAGATTATTTTGGCAAATGCACTGCGATGTTCGGTGGGTCGTTCGACGTGCCACGTTCCAGAATCAACTTTTAAAGTATTGATTATGTTTTCTCAGAAATGAATGTAACCAAACAATAATTGTTTACACATTTGGAGCCTATAGTTTCATCCATTTTACGTCAAAATGAAACCTGACTGCCAGCAGAATAATGAAGTATTTGATTGCATGCTTGTTACAGTTACTCACTGAAACTTTCACAAAACAGCACATTACCTCATTTCCTTTCTTGGAATGTAATATTGAGTGCCTTAGAATTCTGCTATGTGAATTTCACATATTTATAGACAGTGCATCATATTTTCGCCTAATGGGGATAATAATATTATGGCTTTAGGAACCGAAATTTCAGGTTTTATAATTGTATCATCCCTGATGACGCCATTTCAATGTGCCCACTACACGTCTAAGAGCGAATATTTGCACCTGGTTAGACGCACACTTTCATGAAGCTGTAGCGAATGAGGATAACAGGTTATGGCATAACTTTCTCTATATGACGAGTGGAAAGCTTCGAACCACGCATTCGTACGCATTCGTACGCATTCGTACGCATTCGTATGGTATGGCATCTGGTGCGATTTTCTTATTCTGGCCTGGAATATTTGCTGAGCTGAAGGCATGAATCCAGACCCGACATTTTGTCTCTGCAAATTCCTACAAAACCGAAACCTTTGCAGTTTTTATCAAACGCGAACAGTTAAAAGAGCGAGCTTCGGTAGTGTCAGCACGGGTGACGCACGAAACCGTCACAAGATGACGCCACTGCATGTTGTCATCATGACGTGAATACGCCATATTATCACGTGTCAAGTGGACGTCAATAAAGGACGAATAGCAAAACTCTGGCTCACGTAATTCACGGAAGGAAAGAATGAGACAGGACGAAGCCTTTTATATCTGCGATTTCTTATTTACTGTACGGTTATCAAAGGAAAAAGCAAGAACAAAACAGGTACTCACGCGATCACGGGAGTATACATTCGTAGCGTCTCCATTATCGTCTGCGCAGTGTACTGCAGCTCAGAAATGGCGTCGTAGGTGAACTCGCCCTAGGAGAAAAAAAGTACGTTGAATTACGGAACATCTTAGCAAAGCAAGCGTTATTATTTTGACAGTTTTATGGTCTTCGTTCTGGTGCGAACAGTAAAAAAAGTATTATTGAACTTTCAAAAAATTTATCCTATTTTTCTAAACTGTCTGTGAAGAATTGTTAGCCACCGTGAGGAAGGCCGGATGCTCTCATTATTCTGTGCTTCTAATGAAAAGGAGAATATATTTCCGAAAAAGGAATCGTAACAAATTGATTGAACAGCTCTCGTGAGCAGGTAGTAAGTCAAGTCACACACACACACACACACACACACACACACACACACACACACACACACACACACACACACACACACACACACACACACACACACACACACACACACACACACACACACACACACACACACGCGCGCACGCGCGCACACGTACGCACACACACGCACACGCGCACACGTACGCACACACACACGCACGCACACACACGCACGCACATACACATGCACACACACGCACACACACGCACAGACGCACACACACACGCACACACACACGCACGCACACGCACACACGCACGCACAGACGCACACGCACGCACACGCACACACACGCACGCACACGCACGCACACACACACGCACAGACGCACACGCACGCACACGCACAGACGCACACGCACGCACACGCACACACACACGCACAGACGCACACGCACACACACGCATGCACGCACACACACACACGCACACGCACGCCCGCACACCCACGCACACACTCACGCACACACACGCACACGCACGCACACACACACGCACACAAGCACACGCACGCACACACACACACACGCACACACACACATGCACACACACACGCACGCACACGCGCACACGCTGTAAAGGTGTAAAGGTTGACGAAGGAGGAAGCAGGTCGTTGGAGGATACGAGAAACAAAACAGGGTTCATGGTACTATTTACACATATTTACAGAAAAACAAGGGATAGTGGTTTCACAAACCACGAGCGTGGTGGTTGAACGTTACATAGTTCAGAGCGACGTCCAGCACTCTGCCGCGTCGTTTTATGCCCTGTCGGGCTCCTCCGCTCCGAGTCGAACACCAATCACGCACACACAGGTGAGGGGGAGGGGGCGAGCATGCAAGGTCCACGTGAACACTGCACTGTGGTGGCGCCAGCAGGGCTCCTCCTCGTTGTGTGTGTGCCGCTACTCGAGAGTTCCCACGATCCTGGCAGCATACTTCAAAGGGTCCGCCGATTTTGTTCGCTCAATTAGCGGGGTGATTTGCGGTGGCCGTCGGTCTCCTCCAGGAAGATGCTGTCTTTGTTGGCCTCTCTCGAATGGTTAACGGCGTCTTGGCGACACGACGTCTCGTCCTCCGGCTAGCACGTACAATGCCTGACGAGCATAGGCAGTCGGCCGGTCGGCTTGGTGATTGGGGATCAAAAGGGAGCGCCGCTCCTCTGTCAACTCCGACGCCGGCCACGCCAGCCCTCCTGTCGCCCGATGAGTCGTCGAGGGCATTAGTCACCGCTTCTGCTCCAAGAGACGATAAAAGGGTCCGCACTTGAAGGACGGGAAATCGCCTCTGCCCGCCGCCTGGTCTGGATAATCGCTCAAATACTTGACAGCGTCCGTCAGAATGGGCGCCGAAGGGATTGAGGGCCTCACCAGTGGATCGGCCCACGCACAAAGGCGTCTGCTCAGACGAGTTTCCAGGCCAAACTTAACAACTCACACGCACACACACACACGCGCACACACGCACACGCACACGCACGCACACACACACACACACACGCACACACGCACACGCACACACGCACAGGCGCACGCGCACACGCACACATGCACACGCATACGCGCACGTGCACACACACACACACACACACACACACACACACACACACACACACACACACACACACACACACAGGAAAGACAGAACTATCAAGTGGTTCCATACATGAAATAGGAGAATTCAATAATGGGCGCGGCCAGTTTTTCTTGTTAGACTCATCCGAATTTATTCAATCAATCTTCAGGCTAGGGAGGGGTTAGAGCCTATTATTTGTATCCTTTAACTTCAGAACACTTGTGCTATTGTGAATTTCAAGCGAAATAAAGTGGGAAAGGAACCTACAGTCTTCGAATGATGATTCCATACGCTATAACAGAAGAACACACAATGGCCATACAAGGACCCCTTTATGTTTCTATATGTTGACATTCATTCATGGTTCTTGCTGTCATTGTTTCTATACAATTTTGCACGTTAAGGTTGCTGGTGTATCATTTTGCAGGATAACGGTATAATGCATTCGATACATGTCCCGAGGGAAATCGTTATAAGCAAGTACAGCTGAAGTATGCCGAATGTGTCTATCTCGTGTTCAGTGTTTTCTGCGAGGTGGCAAAGTAGCTATATTGCTTCATTGTTCACCCGAAGGTGACGGGATCAAATTCTGACCGCAGCCACCGAATTTAAGATCCGTAAATCTGCTAGATTCCGCAGGCTCATATTTCAACGCACGTGAGGGAATCACAGGGGGTCAAAATTTCCGCAGCCCTCCTTTTATCCCTACAGCAGCGCTCATATTCATATTTTGTTTTATCTCATTAAACGCGAACTATTAATAATATGGAGCCTAATACTCTGGGCTGGGTATCCCATGATTCATGATGATACGGGGCGCGAAAAAACGACACACAACAGAGAAGAAGTACACAGACGACGCGCTACTAGCAACTGGAATATTTTATTCAGGAAACACCATTTATACCGCAGTGACGTCAACTTTAACCCAACGAATCGACCAAAAACTAAAAATACATGCTCAGCATGCCTATAAGTAACGTTGCAGATAGGCTATCTCCCCTTCCTGCAGACTGATAGAGGGGTGGCTGATGCAATCATGCCCCTCCCTCTGGATAAAGAGGGCTTCTATAATCTCCCTCTCCGCTGAGCCCCTGTGCCTGTAGATTACAGTTGTCTGCTCAAATACCGGCTTACAGTTACCCTGATCGCATCCTCTGCAATGCATCGCCAGATGCGTGAACGGCTTTCCTATTAAAGAGCTGCTGTGCTCTCGCAACCGCACGTTGAGGCATCTACCAGTTTGCCCTATGTATGCCTTGCCGCACGACAGTGGTATTCTATATACAACACCACGTGCGCAAGGAACGAACTGCCTTACGTGCTTAATGGCACATCCTCTTTTTTCACACTGCTTTGGCCTACCTGTCTTCTTACCAACCGCTGAGCAGATGCGGCCCACCTTATTTTCTGCGGAGAACACGAGATCCACCCCATACCTCGAAGCCACTCTCTTAAGGCCGTGCGAAAGCCAGTGGATATACGGGATTTTTGACACTCTTTTTCTTCCCTGCGGGACATTCGTGTCTAGGCCTGTCCCAGGCCGTTGCTTAATGGACTTTTTTATTTTTTCGCAAGCAGCAGCTAAGACACTATCAGGAAACGCCGCGTCTCTTAGTCTTTCCACCTGCGCGAAAAAACAGGCACACGCAGGTGGAAAGACTAAGAGACGCGGTGTTTCCTGATAGTGTCTTAGCTGCTGCTTGCGAAAAAATAAAAAAGTCCATTAAGCAACGGCCTGGGACAGGCCTAGACACGATTGTCCCGCAGGGAAGAAAAAGAGTGTCAAAAATCCCGTATATCCACTGGCTTTCGCACGGCCTTAAGAGAGTGGCTTCGAGGTATGGGGTGGATCTCGTGTTCTCCGCAGAAAATAAGGTGGGCCGCATCTGCTCAGCGGTTGGTAAGAAGACAGGTAGGCCAAAGCAGTGTGAAAAAAGAGGATGTGCCATTAAGCACGTAAGGCAGTTCGTTCCTTGCGCACGTGGTGTTGTATATAGAATACCACTGTCGTGCGGCAAGGCATACATAGGGCAAACTGGTAGATGCCTCAACGTGCGGTTGCGAGAGCACAGCAGCTCTTTAATAGGAAAGCCGTTCACGCATCTGGCGATGCATTGCAGAGGATGCGATCAGGGTAACTGTAAGCCGGTATTTGAGCAGACAACTGTAATCTACAGGCACAGGGGCTCAGCGGAGAGGGAGATTATAGAAGCCCTCTTTATCCAGAGGGAGGGGCATGATTGCATCAGCCACCCCTCTATCAGTCTGCAGGAAGGGGAGATAGCCTATCTGCAACGTTACTTATAGGCATGCTGAGCATGTATTTTTAGTTTTTGGTCGATTCGTTGGGTTAAAGTTGACGTCACTGCGGTATAAATGGTGTTTCCTGAATAAAATATTCCAGTTGCTAGTAGCGCGTCGTCTGTGTACTTCTTCTCTGTTGTGTGTCGTTTTTTCGCGCCCCGTATCATCATGAACCAGCACCAACTCGCCCAACTTTTCACTTTACTGGGTATCCCACACCATTTTCTTTCCACTGTGATGACTGCAGATTCAGGGGCGAAGCTTCTTATGGCGCGGGTCTGTCCATTTCTTGTATGTATGTATGTATGTATGTATGTATGTATGTATGTATGTATGTATGTATGTATGTATGTATGTATGTATGTATGTATGTATGTATGTATGTATGGACATAGCATCGGTTGTACATACCCGGCTAGAGCGGGTATGTGCCACAGGGGTTGCGAGATGGGAGATGGTGGTACTTGGAGTGTTCACTAGATGGACGCACGGATAGATAGACTAGCAGACGGGCGGACAGATGGATGGACGCGAGGACGTACGGACAGACAGACGGATGGACGAACGTACGCATTGACGGATGGATGGACTCATGGACGGACGCATGGACAGACAGACGGACGCATGAATTGACGCACGAATGGTCGTGCGGACGGACGGAGCGAGAAAGAATGGACGGACAGAAGCAAGTACGGGCTGACGTACGCTTCGCCCCACTTATCATCATTCACTCCGTGGATATGCTGTGATTTGTTTTTTCATCCAGCGGCGGCGGCAGATTTTACGTTTTCAAAGAAACGGACTCGGACAGGCTCCTGTCGCGTACCGCAAGAAAATTACGGACTGTAGTTGAGTGTGTCGGTACCTTGTATATCTGTGGTCTTTCTCTCTCTTTCCCTTGGCTTTCAAGCTTCGCCATTACGTTGCTATTTGTAGGGTAGGAAATCGGTTGTCTTAAAACTGGTTCCCCTCCCCGCGTTTTACTATTTCTTCTGCCAACTGTCATTCAATGTCAGTTCGTGTTCTTGGATTGAGGGAGGATCGATACCCAAGTGACTCACGTGCACCGCCAGGACGGTTTCAGTCTCAGCCCTGATTTTCTCCTGCACGGCTTGAAACTTGGCCACACAGTACAGGCAGTGGGACAGCGTGACGCCGACAGTTTCGAACCTGTCATTTTTCAAAAGTCCACGTTGTCAAAAAAACTCATTCTTGGGTTTTTATCCGGTAAGATATAACATACCCGGCTTGAAGCATGTTGGCAGCATTCGTAGCGACATCCCTGATGGGCATTGAAACCTTGTCTTTGCCTAAAAGGTAATAAAAACACTCTTTGTACATTAAAAATGTCGTGGTAGACATTGTCCCAGCATTGTCGACGTCGGAATTGACTGGCCACTGGCATAAAAAATAAATGCAATCAAAGAAACAGTTTCTAGACAAAGCAAGGCTTGAATTTAAAACCATTGTGTCCAAGCGCCAAGTGTCAGAGCAACTTGAATGGGCATCCATGCTTGAACAAAAATTTATTGAAATCATACAGAGGCGTTGTACCAATCACAACGGAATTTTACTGTGCTGTGACAGCTCACTAGCCAATCAGATAACCGCTCGAGCTTACAACTTCATCAGCTTCAATATACGCCGGTTTTGGCATCCTAACACCGAACTCGCTCGCTGGATATCGTGCCAACCGGTTGTGCCCTCGTGATCTGCGACAACAGTGCAGCTCTGGCCAACTGGGCTCACCCTACGCCATCTCCTGATGCAGACAGGTGGTGGTGGTAAAAAACATTTATTTCAGAAAAAGTCTACTAGAGAGTGCCGACGTGACCCATCGGCGTGCTAGAGTGGCAAGACCCTATTCCGGGACGCCAGTGGAGCTGGAAGCTGCCCGTGCGCGCTCCACCAAGGAGCGTTGCGCAGCCAAGGTAGAGCAGTCGAGCAGGTGCTCCTCCCAAGCCTCTCTAGTTGAGATAGGAAAAGGGGATGAAAAAGGGACGGGATTAACTGGGCACGATGCTACGACGTGATATGTGTCGGCGAGGACATGACAGGTCGAGCAGGTGCCATTGATTTCTGGCAAAAAGTGCCTGGCGACCGCCGGACTGATAAAGGTGTTCGTCTGCAGGCGGCGTAGCAGTCGTTCGTCCACTTTCTCCAGACCGCGTGCGGGGTGCGGGTAGAGGCGGCGCGAAGCCCGGTAATAAGCCAAAATTTCGCGAAAGCTCGTCAGGTTGGTATTGCCAGATTCCGTCTCGGGACATGGAGGGGCAACGGCCCGGACAGGAGAAGCGCGGGCAGCGGCATTTGCCGCCTCGTTGCCGGGCAGGCCCGAGGGGCCTGGGGTCCAGACTATACGAATGGGATGAGGGTTAAAGCGCCAAGAGGCTGCCTGTAGTAGGCTAGCCGCCAGCGGGGCAATGGAACCCTGAAGGTACTGAGAGCAGGCCGAGCGCGAGTCCGTCAGGATGGTGCGTGAGGCAGGGTGAGAGGCGGCCAAAGCTGTGGCAACCTCTTCAGCGTGCGTTACTGTGTCTGCTCGAAAGGAGAGGCCATCTACGTGTTTGCCCTCTGTAATCACGGCAGCCGTGAAGTGACCCGAGGGGGAGGGACCCGAGACGTCCACGTAGAAAACACCTGTACGATCGAAGTGTCGCGTATGAAGGGCCGCGGCGCGTGCTAGTCTACGGCCAGGATGGAGGTTGGGGTTCATATTACGGGGTAGAGGTTCCACCGATAGCTTTTGACGCCAGAGCTCTGGTACCGGCTGCAGAGGGTCTTGGTCGGATATCGGGTTAAGGCCAAGTCTGTGTAGAAGACGGCGCCCTGAAGGCGTCTGCGACAGTCGATTGATTTGGTTAACGCGATGAGCTTCGCGCATCTCTGCAAAGGTGTTGTGTACCCCCAGAGCCGCGAATCGGCTGTTGGAAGTTGCAATAGGTAGGTCCAGAGCGCGTTTGTATACTGAACGAAGAAGGACGTCCAGCTGGTGCTCGTGTCGACGACGCAGGCGAAGGTAAGGCAAGGCGTAGAGGACGCGACTGGTCACAAACGCGTGGGCCAATCGGAGGGACTGAGACCCGCGGAGGCCGCCGCGCTTGGTAGAAACTCGCCGTATCATGCGGCTGACCTGTTCGCTGGTGCGTCTGAGGCCTGCTATTGTGCCCTTCGGATTCAAGGACGATGTGAGGTGAAGGCCAAGAACCCGAATATTTTGCACTGACGGGACGGGCCCGGACGGAAGAAAAATTTGAGGCGGCGTAAGCGGAGAGACTGAAAGAAGAGCCGATTTAGCTGGAGAGCACTCCAGGCCGCATGAACCTGCATAGGTGTCCACCAGAAGGGCGGCCATTTGCAGGCGTTCTTCGATTTGCGCTAAGGAGCCGATGTTGGTCCAGATTGTGATATCGTCCGCATATAGTGCGTGTTGTACTCCCTCGACGTCGCTTAGAAGAGAGGGGAGGTTCATCATCGCCAGGTTAAAAAGCAGAGGAGACAGGACTGCCCCTTGAGGTGTACCCCGCGTGCCTAATAAGTACGGGCCGTGTTCGGTAGAATTAAGGCGAATGAAGGCGGTGCGATGTGATAGAAAGGCGCGAATGTAGTTGAAAGTCTTCTGCCCGCAGTTTGTGGTGACAGGTTAGTGAGTATAGTGCTGTGTTTGACGTTGTCGAACGCCCCGCGGAGATCGAGAGCGAGCACGGCTTTATCGTTATGGCGCATAGTAGTCGGCTCTATAATATCGTGTTGAAGCTGGAGCAGGACGTCCTGCGCCGACAGATGCGGGCGAAAGCCAAACATCGTGTCGGCAAAGGTCCTCGTGGCTCCAAGTAGGCGGAAAGGCGTTCGCGAACCATGGTTTCCATGAGTTTGCCTGCGCAAGACGTAAGTGAGATGGGTCTCAGTGCCTCAATACTAACGGACTTTGCCGATTTGGGAATGAATGTCACGACCGATGTGGTCCATTCTGTTGGAAGCGGAGAGCCGTCCCATATCAAATTTATAAGTTGGAGTAGCGAGAGGTGTGCTTGGTCGGGAAGATTTGCCAGGAGCGATACTGTGATTCCGTCGCGTCCAGGGGCCGTGCCCCGTCGCATTTTCGTGAGTGCAAATCGTAAATCAGAAAGCGTGTATGGGGCGTCGAGGTCGCTGTTAGGGGCGCCGGAATACGTATATGCTGGGCCTGCGGGATCAATTGTGCGGCAGATGTAGCGGTCACAGAGTTCTCGCGCGAGTTCATCCGTAGTGCCCTGAAAGGCATGCAGAACACGGTGGAGCTGGCGTTGCGTTTCTCCCCTGGTGGTGGAGGGATCGAGAAGGCTTCTAAAGAGTCGCCACGCACTCTTAGAGCTCATCTGGTTTGCAGCCTTTGAACAGGTGTCTGCCCAGTTAGCATCGGAAAGTTGTGCGGAGTATGCGGCCGCCTCTGCAGTGAGCGCCTCAATGCGAGCGCGAAGTTTCCGATTAGGTTTGTTGCGTTTCCAGCGCCTTATAAGCCCGCGGCGAGCGTGCCAAAGATGTAGGAGGTGTGGATCGATTGCAGGAGTCAAATTAGAGGTTGCAAGGGTGCGAGTGTTCATTTGTTTCGTATGTAGAGCGTATGATGCCCACGCTGCCTATTCGGTCGAGGAGAGGCCAGCGGGGAATGGTTGCATTCTGAACTGAGTCCAATCGGTGAGACGGGCTTGGCCCCAGTGTTGGCGCATTTTCTGCCGCGGTGTGAACGAAATTCGGAGTAAAAAGTGATCGCTGCCTAGGGTTTCGCCTAAATTTTCCCATGTAGCATCGCGGATGTGACGGGTGAGGGAGGGGTCGGGGCATGTGTCTCGCGTGACCGAGTTACCGGAACGTGTGGGTTGTGCCGGATCGGTAAGAAGCGTCAGGCTCAGCGATGAAATGAGCTTCTTGAGCTCTCTGCCCCGGGCCTTCTCGTAGTGGTAACCCCAGTGAGGGCTGGGGGCATTAAAGTCCCCGACAATCACCAGTGGGTGTCGGGCCGCTATACCCAGCGCCCGATGGAAGAGATGCGCAAACGAAGCCCTCGCAAGGCGAGGGGGACAGTACACGTTTAAGATATGTATTGATGGTTGGCCCCTCTGCTGAGACAGCACTGATATCATGCAGTAGTCGTAAGGAAGATCCAGATCGAGGTCAACCTGTATCGCCGTGTAAGCTTTATGCACGAGGAGGCATGTGGTGGTGCCGCCTACATAGGAGCAGTATCCAAAAAGGGATGGAGCAGGGCCAGATTCTTGGAGCGCTAAGACGGCCGGCTGAGAGCCAAGTGAGCTGAGGAAAAGAGAAAGATGTGAACACTTTCGCCTGTTCCCAAAGCCTCCAGGGTTCCACTGTATGATCTCGAATTTAGACGCAATGTTTGAACGGGACGTACGATTGGTAGCCATCGTGACTGTCCTAGGTTTTATATTTGGTCCTCCATGTCCCGCTCGGAATCCTCAGAGGCAGGGAGGGGCACGGAGGCCGGATTATCCGACGGCGGGGTGGTGGTAGCCACCTTACGACGACGCCGTGGAGCTGTACCCTCACTGCTCACCGAGCAGGAGCGGGAACGCGATGCCTTGGGTTGAAACTGGGTGATTGCCCAGGCTTGAATAGCCTGGGTAACCTCTACTACTATGCGTTGGACCGAGAAGCTGGTGAGGAGGTGATTAATCGAAGCTTCGACGCGCGTGAGGCGTTCCTCTACGCGCGTGGTGCGCTCTTCGCTAGGGAGAGTTTGGTTAGCGTGCAAGAGAACCTGGGGTGCCCCAGGAGCCTCAAGAGCTTCTGGATTAGATGTGGCACCGGTTCCGAGTGCTGGAGTACACATGGCTGCTTGAACCGGCGGTTTAATGGAAGTGGACTTAGCGCGAGGACTAAGCTTGGACGTAGCTGGCGTAGCCGCCTGGACAGAGGAGGCAATACCGGATGGCCTTGCAGTACACTGTTGTTGGGGTTGAAGTCGCTTATTTAAGAGTTCGAGTTGTTTAGTTAAAAGAGAATTTTGCTTTTGAAGTGCCGCAACTTGCTGGCGAAGGGCCGCAAGTTCGGGAGAAGGAGGATCGACAGAAGGGGGTGAGAGAGGCTTAGAAGCAGCTTTCCCTGCCCAACTGCTCACCTGAGGTACCGCCGCTGGTGCTTCGAGCGGTGGGAATGCTTGAGTGTCGGCGTGGAGTGGTGGAGCCGAATGATGCAGGTTGGTGCTGCTGTCTGGCTGTGACGAACATGAGGTGGTCCCTCGAGGAGATGTTGAGGGCTGCTTGCGTTTCCGATATTTTCGATATTTTGCCGTGCAGCCACTGGTCCCAGTCTCATGGGCGCCGTGGCAGAGGAGGCACTTGGGGTGGCAGTCATGGAAATTGAGACCTGCAGGTGCGGGGGTTCCACATTTGGCACACTGCGTTGGAGCGGGGTGAGGACACTGAGGTGGTCGATGGCCGATGGTACCGCACTTGGTGCAAACAGGGACCGTTTTCTTGTAGGCGCGGATATACGTCGCCACGCAGTGGTAGAAGAGGAAGCGGGGTAACTTCGTGCCCTCGAAAGTCACCACCGCCGCCGCGGAATCTCCGAGTTGGCGGACCGCAAGGATTGTACCTCGAGGCCAATACAGTTCAGACTTTATCTGCTCCGGGGTTTCAGCAGGGTTTACGTTGATCACGCCCTTGCATGTATCCCCTGGTGCCTTGGCGTGGCCTCGAACGGGCAGCTGCTGATCCTTTACTTGCAGCTGGAAGTCCCCGAGGAGTCGCTGTGCCATAGGCAAAATGGTGGTGCTACAGACCAAGATGTTCTGTTCCCAGATTGGCCACACTTGAATTTGCGTGGTAGTCCGGTCGCCGAGGTAGCTGCGGATGGCGTCGCCCGCGCGATCGGCCGTGACAAATGTGCGTAGCTCGCAGGGAACGCGAGGTTTAACTACTACGATGTAGTCGTCGCGAGAGAGGCGAGGAGTCTGACGCGGACGCCACTTGCTTTGCTTCGCTGGCTGCGAGGACGGAGCAGAGGTAGGCACACCACCGGAGGGATGGCGCGCCGGCGTTCCTTGCAAGGCTGGAGAATGGCGGCCAGCTGTGGCGTCTCGTTGTTGTTGAGACGCAGACTTTGATTTGGCTTGCTTGCGTTGCCACAGTCTCACCATGTCGTCGAGGTATTCATCTTCTGTTGGCATAGTGTTTACGGTGGATGAAATCTCCATAGACAGCACTTGGCTTGAGGTAGGATCATAGCCCGTAACCACGTTGGCGGCCACCATCGCCGGGCTGAGAGCCCTTAGCGAGGCGGCGTTGTAGCCGGGAGTTAAGGATGTCCCTCAAGTTGTCAAAACTGGACCCACCTGGACGAAGGTGTTGTCTAGGCGAAGCGGAGAACTTGGTGGTGACGATAAATCCAAGTTTCAGGGGTACCAAGGTGGATGTCCGCAGAAATAGCAGAAAATCTACGGAGGCGATGGGGAGTGCGTCCGTCACCATCGAGCGTCCGTCCCCTGATGCGGACAAGAGCTCTCGTTGAGTTGTGCCCCGTCCTCGGACTTCTGTGACTATGTCCATTTTTTCCTATCTCCTCTACTTCCGTCGCTAGCTGTCCCTGTGCCTCACTCTCTCCTTCCTTTCTCTACATATACCTTTTAATTCTATCCTTTTAACCCCCATCCCTTGTGAGCTACTGTTGAGGTGTCGCACTCTGATGCAGACAGTTACGGGGCTCACTTTTCTTTTCTTTTCCACTTAAAAATCACACAAGAACCCTAACACCGGGTGAAAAATCTTTAGGGAGGGTGTTGCACAAGGACACACTGTAGTTCTGGTTGGTTTTCTTTAGCAAAATAAGCTATCTGCTCAACAAGGTGCACGTTATTCTTGTTCTCCTTGATGCTTTGTCCCTTTTCACCCGCTTGCAAAATTAGTTATACCCTTCTAACGCAGCATTGAAACTAGTTCGACAATACCACTATGCTATGGAAAACCTGGGACAAACATGAAGACACACGTACGACACTTGTGAACTCCTTCCCCTTAATTTAGAGTCATATTTCACCAACTAGCTCCACAAAAATTTATCTCAGGATGAAATAATTAACTAAATACTTGATTAAAACAAAGCCAGGTCTTGAATCCAGTCAGAGTTGGGGCATAATAAAGCTATGTTAGATCAAATTTTATTATAACAATAAAGAGATACCTATGTTACTCCACTAAGCGATAAAACAAAATGCCCGTGGAAAGAATATGAAGCTGCTTTCAGGAATTTAGTAATTATGGAATGCTAGCGAGAGACCGTCACTGACAGAACATTTGTAGGGATTAAATAATGAAGCTTCGCAGCATTTAAAACGGCTTACTATGAAGGGTTTTATTAGGTTTATGGGTATTTTAAGCCTTAACATAGCGAGAGCTGCGCATCATATATTGATTATAAGAAAACGGTACATTCAGCAGCTACGAATATTGAATAAGGGGTAAACTTCCTAAGAGACTACTTAGCAATAGATACACTCTGATAAAACACTGAAGTACGCCGAGCTCCTACCTTTGCAGTGTTGCCACTCTTCCTTGGTCCAAGAGAAACTCCGCACATCAACCTGGGTTTTTTCGAATTTCATTTCCAGCAGGCACTGGAGAAGGTCTGGTCGCATTAGCTGTAAAAACCATCAACGAGAACTTTCTGTACAATGCGTCTATAGCCGCTTTTTGTGGTGAAAACGTCAACCAAAATACATGTGCAGCATGATTTCTCAGAGTTTCAGTAATATACTCTGTGTACAGGGTGGGGAGTACGTTTCAGGTGGGAAACCCTTTTAGCGGAAAATACGTTTCAGGTAATTTCTTAGAACAACAACAAGAGCAGCGATAAAGAAAAAGAAACCCGCTATCAGGTTGACCACAGAGTCCTTGTCAATAAAGTTAATTAGTTTTTGTGTTGCCTTACTTTGCTTAGTTCTTATGTACTCCTATTCAAATATGCATCAGCCTTTCTTACTACGTGTATCAGAAAACGACTAAGCGAACTTTAAGAATTCTTCTACCAAAGAAGGACATTGCCGCTTCAAACGCGACAAGTAGACCACCAGCATCCTCCATCGTCTAACTCAACGCGAATGAGGCATGCAATCATCAAGTGATGTCCCCTAGTATGCCAAAAAGCACTAAACGTGTGACGTCACGGTGGTGTCAAACGATGATTGAACACGTCAGGAAACGGTGATTCGATTGGCAGCCAATCAAATCATCCATTAAGAAGAGAAAAAGATGGATTCCGCCTTCTAGCCGATCTAGTTGAATTCACGAGGAACCCTGGCAGTTTTTTTTTCGCCAAGCATGAGAGGTCATTCAGAATCCCCCTGACATTACCTTGGGATCCTTTCTTCGCATTTCGATGGCCGGTAAGGAGCATACGGCCAGTGCTTGGAATGCATCAGCTCCGAGCCATCGATCCAGGGCGATCATGAGGAGCACGAAGCCTTTGATGCCCGAGAAAAACTCTGCACGGCATTACATACAGTGAGCACAAAAGAAGTCGAATGAACTTAGTTACACGTGTGTGCACAGAAATATCTCCGATTTGTTGACTGATACATTAATTTTGCCTAAGCACATGCCTGCTTCGTACATTTTGTGAGTTATGGACTGGCTATGGTGATGGCTGGGCCAGCGGGCAAATACGTGTGCGTAATGCCATAGATGGCGCCGCTTCCAACATTTCCACAGAAAGCAGGTGGCCTCTTTCGCTCCAAAATCAGAAAAGTGACTACAGACGTCAAAGTAATTTAGGGAGCCTTTCATGAGACCTCATGAGAGCGCAGTGTTTCACCTTATCGAAATGGCTGTGGGAGCTCTCATCCATAAAAATAGACCTCTTTTCATAAATACCCTAAGCCGCTTTGACGATGAAGCCGTTATTGTACTCTGCTGCTGACCAAAGAGTCACGGGCTTAAATCCAGGTCGCGGCGACTTCATTTTGATGAATAATTGATGCAAGATGCCCGTCTGCTTTCATACTCTTAAGACTCCCAGGAGGTCAAAAGTTTTCGAACCCTTTACAACGGCATTTCTCAAAATGAAATCGCAATTTCTAGTCACGTCACATACCCCCCCCCTCCCACCCCCAGAGTGTCTGCTATCATCTTATGACACATTTATTAAATTACTTTGAAGTTTTCAGTAGATTTGTAATCGTGCTTACGTCAATTCATTTTTCATTCATATTTCGGCAACCAATTCACGTTTCTTAGCCTTATTCACCTAAATTCGCCGTTGATTGAATTTATGCTTCAATTAACACTTTCGAACGCTCGGCTAACCATTGCACAACCACGAACTTTGTGAACGCAAGTAAAAAAGAAACAACTCACGTGTCGCCGTTTGGAAGAGAGAGGCTATATAGCCCGGAACTACCGACGTGGCGTTTACAAAAAGCTGGTTTCTTGGATTTCTCTGGACGTCTACACGCATGCCGAACGTTGTCCTGGCAACGAGGTCGAACGCCAGGGCACTCAAGTGTGGCTCCACATCAATCTGCTCACCGATGGATGAGCCTCGGCTAAAGCGGCTTCGGTCCTCGAGGATCTCCAGGAACTCGTCCACAGCTTCGACCATTCCTGGAACAAACTGGTCGACTCGAATCGCTGTTATTATCTCCGTATCGTACATCAGGTTACGCGCTGCGGACACCATGCAAAAAGTTCAGTTACCATATTGTGCGAGTCCGCGCGTCTCGCACTGGCCTTTTATTGTTGAAAACGTGGCCTGCCCAGTTGGTTCGGGAATAATTACTGAAAGTGATCGCGGAGCCCATAAAACTATTGGGATTCAATTTCTTTATTCTTGCGTCATAAAGATACAGACAGTTGAAGGAAGGAATGAAATTGAAAGAGAGAGAGAGCTGGAAGCTTCACCAGAAAAACGTCTGGTTTGCTACGCTATATTGGCGAATAAAAGAAAAAGGATAAAAAAATAAAAAAAATGATTGCTGTAACGTGCTAAGACAGCTCCACGATTATGAGAGACGCCGTAGTGAAGGGGTTCGAAAATTTGGCTAGCCGGGGTTTCTTAGCGTGTGCCTAAATCTCAGCACATGGGCCTCAATAAGCAAAAGCAATCAAAAACGGCTTGACAGCTTGGTAGAAACAGATTTGACGGACTCACATACCCCGTTGGCTTAGCAGCAGCTTTAAACAAGTCTTAAAAAAGCGAAGGTAACAGTAAAGTGTAAGAAAAGACATAAAACAGTCGGCAAGTACAAAATTGAAACAGGACTAGATTTTATAGATAATATCCACACCATCACCATCTTCAGCCAGACAACGCCCCCTGCAGGGCAAACAGCCCTCGCATGTTCCGCCAATCAGCCCAGTTTCGTTCTTTTTGTTGGCAATTTATACTCGCAAAACCCTTAATCCCATCTGCCAAGCTAATTTTCTGTCTCCAGCGCATGTTCGCCTTCTCACAGAATCCCCTCAGTTCACGCGTAAAGGGACACTAAAAACAAATCTTAGGTCGATGTGTTACAAATAGTGGTACAGAAACCACGTATTGCCACTTCTGTGCAGAGGATGTGCATACTTTAAAATGAAATCACGTGTTAGCGGTCCGCATTGCGTTAGCGCACTTCCGATCACCCGCCTAAAAGCAGTCCGCTTCACGTCATTGTTGCTGTGCACAACGTTGGCCGGCTCTACTGAGCAGCCGCCGACACTAGTAGCAGCAGAACTTGTGTGCAAGTATCCACAGTGCGAATGCAAAACTGAAGTATGATACGTTAACATGAATTTCACAATGTTTTTGTCGATAAAATTACGGGAGGTGTAATCTTTGTCCCTACTTTGAACCATATGATCTGAAGCATTGCCTCCGAGATGCGGCGCATGGCACTTCATTTGTAGAGCAGACGATGGATGACAACTTGCCCTAAAGCGTGTTCTTCAGTCTAATGCGGCAGTCTTCGTGCCCCAAATGATAAAAATTAGTTATGAATCGTTTATGAACTCATTCAACATTCAATTCTCTTACCCGACATGTTGCAAACACATGGCCGTCACAGCAGCTCCATCTGTGTGTCAGTAATGGAGAGGCACCACATAATAAAAGTCTCAGTGCTCTACGTATAAGAGTGAATTCAGATACTGTAGAATATTGTGTTCAAAATAGGTACTCCTATCTGCTAAAACAGCCTTTCTTCACCAAATGCGGTCACGTTTACTCGCGTTTGAAGCTCATTGCCACTTTTCCATCCCGATTTCTAGATTTCTCAACTTATCAGTTCATTCTCGAAAAGCTCTGATTTGTACCACGAATATTGTCGCTAAAAACAAAATAATGCAACATGTTTTTTTCTATTACTGTATGATGGCCTTCGGTTGTCTACTTACGAGATTCTATAAAAAAATCGAAGATGGGTGTTTTTATTATTCGAATTTCAGTGGAGTACACTTTTGCCAATATGAGAATAATTTATGTACCTAATATGTACCTCATATTAGCAATAATTTATGTACCTAATGAACACACTATATCCTTAAAACGTGTCAAGTTTGAAAACGCTGCTTGCATTACTTTCGGAGAAAAAAAATGGGGAATACGTAACTTATTTTAAACTGTCGCAAAATTAGACATTTTAAAAGCTATTTTTTTAAGGTCTACAACCTCGAAACCATATGAATTCATTCTTCATTAGACATGCATTTCAGGTAAAAAATATCTTCCTTGAAACAAAAATATTTGTCTTTTTATAGCGTCTGCAATTTTCGAAAATGACAGGTGACGAAATTGGTGCCTCCGTGTTGGTGAAGATTGATAATTTTTTCTCTTAAGTTATGCCGTTAATCATAAAACGAAGTTGACTTTTGGGCTACCTGGTAAGAGGTGCACGAAATATAAAATACTCAATGAAATCTAAAATATCAACTTTTGGACCCGCGTCGATCTCTCGTGGAATCACCCCTTTATATTACTATGGTATCCTTCTTCCCCCCCCCCCCCCTTGTACAAAAGCAGTCATGGCTGCGAACAACAAATAGAAAACAGAGTCTACTGTTTCACGAAGTGTCAACAAAAGCGTTCTCTAGAACTGCAGAAGCACTAATTAACACTGATATAAATAACGTGCTTTGTTCATTTCAGAGGCACAAATTATGTTCAGTTGTTATTGAAGAAACACGTTATGGAAGGTAATATGATTGAATCATTTCTGAGCGTGCATACAACTATCGCAAAAAGTCTCGCTAGCTTTCACAACATCATACCTCATGTATCTGTTTCAGTCACGATGTGTACAAATGGAGACGCCATTTGTAATGGCACGTCGCGCACCACATGTTTCATCAATTGGATCGAAACTTAGTGTGAACATTTGAGCAGGTCTCCTGAGGCGCCTACTGGCTATTATTTTACTTTGTTTTACTGCGTACTGCTGCAGAGGATAATTTTGATGAACGCCCTACCACGATGGACAATTGTCCGACGTGATGCATTCTGAGGCAAACGCAAAAAGTATTTGTTTCTTCGCTCAAAACTAATACAACTGAAAATATAATCTGTACGTGCATTTCGGGATTAATAGCGGATTTATTATGCAGGTACTGAAGCTGACTGGATACAGAATAATTAGTTAATTAGTTACAGACTTCATTTAGTCAGATTTATTACTGACTGCCTTAGAAATATGGTGGGAGGCTTAGAATTATGAACAACGCATCATAACTCGTGACTGAAGGGCGTATAAAATGGAGTTTAATGTAACGAGCATCGACTGTCACTCTTCGCTATCTTATAGACTTCCCAGTCTATTGTCAGTGTGATAAAAAAAAAACGCCGGCAGCTTTCCTCAACGGAAGCGGTAGAAATAGTAGACCTGATACTCCTCGCTGTCTTCAGGCTACTGACTTCCCATGTTTTTGCGGTCTTTCACGGTATTTCCATATTTTAGAAGTACTTTCTAAGTCAGGCACCTTCATCGTCGGGAGTGCCCGTAGTCGTGACCTTTACAGAAAATTGAACGTCACAAATAACCTGAACTTCCAGTCTGGCCTAACTACCAGCGCAAAGTTGCGCTTTTACACGCTTTCAACTCTTTCGACAGCTGCGCTGTAGCATGCTTTCCGACAATGATCAACCTCGCCCCTCCAGGCGCACGTCTGATTGGCTCCAAATATTGATGAAACGAAGTAGTGCTTGAATCGGGTCTTCGAAACCCTCTCAGGCAACTTTTATGCGGCCTCCGGAATGTAAGGCCTCAAGCTGAACAAGCCAGACCCCCTCATTAGCTGAACGACAGGCAGATATGCACTTTTGTGTTCGAACGTAGATTTTTACTGTAGGCATGGGGGCCTGTGTTAGAGCACCACACGGGCTTGATTTTTCGGCCCGGCCCAGGCACCATTTATGAAGCCCGAGCCTAGCCCGGGTCTGGGCGTACATGACTGAACCTAGCCTTAGGCCGGCCCGGGCCTGATGTTTCCAAGCCCGAACGCGGCTTGGCTTGGGCCCCTGGTTTTAAACTTGTGTACAGTCCAGTCCCGAAAGTTTACTAAACTTATCCGGGACACCCGTGTTCATGATCAGGCCTGGCCCAGGAACCGCTAGAGGATATTAGTTGCTCATGATGGTTAATAATGATGCCGCATCATAGCGGGTGGGTAGGTGCAGAACATAATTGTCAGCAGGACGCACGATCGAGTGCAGTGGGCGGCTTCCACGTCGGACCGCTAGGCCAAACCAGTCAGCTGCTCCGTGGGCCTGCTGGACGGCCCAGAATCGGTCGTACAGGTGAGATCCGACAAAAAATCTGGTTATTATGTGCACCGAAAGGTTGCTTTAGGTGCGGTTGTAAGCCAGTGGTTAGGCTGTTTCGCTGTCAAGTTCTACGAAATGAGTGCGATTCCCGCGGTCATGGTGGCTGCATTTTCAAGGTGGGCGAATTGCAAAAGAACCCATGCACTCATCTTTAGCTGCTCGTGAAAAAGCCCTATAGCTGGTCAGAACATAATCCTGTCCCAAGTATGGCGTGCCTTGAAATGTATTTCGTATTTTAAATACCTAGTACCAAGAAGTATAAATGAAACTTTACCCGTTAAGCACGTGGCAAGTTAGTACTATAACAATACAATGAAATAATAAAAAAACTAAAAATTGTTTGAGAAAAGTGTACAAGTAACGTGAAAAAGGGGATAAATGCCAACTCGGGACATTTTTGTCAATGCTGTTTTCTACACTCGCTTTGCCAACATCAACTAAAATTTGTCTGAAAAAGGCTTCTCATTGATACTTTGTTCCCGCAAGATAAAAGAACGTTAACACTATACATGAAGAAGAGCCACCAAAAGCAGATGAAATATAAACCGTTTATGTTCTAAGGTTGTCGCGCAAAGGTAATCGTCAAGTGAAATAGATTTATGTAATCAAACTGCTTCACACCATGCTTATTGACAATCGAAGTGAAAAGTTTCACTCTTTTTCGTCAAACAAAGATAGAAAATAAGATTTAACAACCCCCAGTCAGACCAAGGGCCGCACCCGAAAACTATGCGACTGGAGTAGTTGTGTGAAAAGAAGGTTCTTGGACAAAAACAGAATGTTGTCCACCCTCTCCGGCTTCATGCAGATCCTCCTGTGTTGGAGCACAAACTCAGCTGCACTGAAACTGCTTGCGCTGCTGGCTTTCGTGGGCGGGATGAAAAGTACTTTTTTTGCAAGAAATGAAGACTCTCAGTATTTACTACGTCGGGCTTTCCGGCATTCAAGCAGTTTCTCACTGTCCTCACGCGAGTCACAATCCTGAAGGTAGCTGTCAAACTCACTGTCGGCTGGCCAAGTTTCCGCAGCGTAGCGTCACTCTTTAAAATTCCTCTTAGCATGTACTCTTTGGTGGAGGTTCATGACCCGGCTGGCTTATGCTCGTTTCTCCTCGTTATAAGTGCACATGTACATAAATCAACACTTCGCCTATTCTGTCGTGCATGGTTTTTTACTCGTGCTCACCAAAAAGGTGGAAATGGCAGAAAGGCGGCAAGAGAACGTTGCGGTTTCGTGGCACTCGCCAATATGAGCCGTTTTATTCGAAGAAATTGTAGCTTCCCCGACTTCAGCTTGTACACTTCCAGTGAGTGTCCAAGCAGTGGAAAGGTGCTTCTTCAATTTTGAGTTGTACATCGTTACAAGGGTCTGCGTAACTTGAAGGCTCCTTGAAGGCTTCCAAGGATTCGGCCATTCCGTCAACGTTTCCGTATGGACGTCACCTAAGAATACATTCTTCCTTGAATGCAGGCGTTTCTCAGTCGCTTTGTAGAGAGTTAGCACAGACTTGATTCCGGGAGCTCCGAATTTCTCGAACTCTTTGCACGGGTTGCTTTAGCTTGGCACAAAGTGTCTTAGACCATTCAATGCATAACAATCGCGTGTGCTCGAATGCCTGACCTATAGGCCATTTAATAAGCGGGGCCTGCACAGTTTCGTGGCTTCCAGCCTGAGCTTCACCTATGCCCGCACTTTTAATCCCGAGCTCAGCCCGGGCTCACTGAAAAACCCTTCAGATGACCTGGCCCGGGCCCGGGTTTTTGGATCAACGCTGACCCGTTCAGTGCTCTTGCCTGGGTTCAGATCGATCCATCAACCAATCAGTAGATCGATCGATCGATTGACAGAAAGATAGATAGATAGATAGATAGACAGACAGACAGACAGACAGATAGGTAGATAGATAGATAGACAGACAGATAGATAGATAGATAGATAGATAGATAGATAGATAGATAGATAGATAGATAGATAGATAGATAGATACGATTCTCAGCGAAATATGCCATAAGTTGCCCTACTTACCACTCGCAGCTTGTTTGCAGAGAATGCCTGTGAGATGCATCGTCGAATGGGCTTCCACCTGTCTGTACGTGCGACACTTATCGCACTGCGATACGCCGGGTTGTCATCCACGAATCTCGTAATTACCTAGAAGTAATGAGTGGAGGAGATCGGCACAGCCTAAGAGCATGTGCAGGATGGTAGTGTGGGGTCGTTAGGACACGTCTTAAACCACCACAGAACGTGTTACTGTGCGCACAATGAAGTATTTTTGTTGCATTAGAAAAAAGAAATGTCCGAATGCAAGGTTAGTTTAAAGGAAACAAGTTAGTCTGGCGTCAGGTTAAGTTGAAAATTAAAAGCGCAAGCAAGAAATTAGCTCTGTTTTTTTTCAGGAAAATGGGGGTTTACGTGCTTTGACAACAAAAACTTAGGTTGCAACAGGTGACAAGAATGATTGCCTGGGTCAACAAAACGCAAGAATGAAATTTAGCTACTTGAGCCTTGATAAAAGATTGCATTGACTTCTTGTAGTAAGCTATTTGTTAATATGGCATTAGCTATTGATAGGTTCCTCATCGATAATGGTACTGCCTAATACGAATTCCGCGCGCCACTTTTTAAGTGTTTTGATGGGGCAGTGTGTCGACGCTAGTGCTTCTGTTTCGGCGGCATGCACATCTAGACTCCGGCTGGCCGAGCAGAGACTTAGAAAAGGTGGCATGTGGTGCACTTGCATTGCTTGCCTTGCTGATTGTTCAGAAAGAATGGGATGGGACTATCTGCAAATAGGTACACGGCTTGCAATATGAAAAGAACGCTGTGAGTAGCGTGCCTGGCGCTGACAATTCCACGCAGCCCATTTCGCAATAACTGCCGCATACGGAGTGTAGTGTGATTGCCTCACTTACAAAGGGACCACAGAAATCAGCGAGAGGACGCGTTCCACGAAAGCTGCCTCGTGGCGGTGCGCATGTCTGGGCCCCAGCGATTGGCTGCCGAAGTACCTGTTATCTCGCCACTTGACTTATCTCTTAATTCTTAACTTTTCCCCTTAACTTCGCTCTTAACTTGTTCGTCATCGCCGTCTTTTATCCTACAATGTGCTCCACATTCGCTTTCTTTCGTCTTCGTTAGCTTTGCAAGCTATGGTGATGGCGACGCTGCTTAACACGGGAGTGGAGGTCCAAAGGGTTGACCACACATACGTGTTGCAGCGCCTTGGCACGTGGATTGTCAGCCTGGTACCTTGCCCACTCCCTACAGAAAGAGAGAGAAAGGGCGCGCGGCTAATGGTAGCTACTTGCCCTCCAAGGAGGTGCTGGAGTGGAAGCTCCCGCAACGCCTTGCCAACACAAGTGCAGCTACCTTTTGACCTCGTGCTCTTTTCTGCTGGTGTCCACTTTGATATCAAGTACCTTTGAGCTGCTATTGTAAACGCTACGTTGCTTATAAATAATGAGATTTTTGCTCCTGACGAAAGAACGCGCATAGAAACAAGTATGACTGACTGAATCTCTAAGGAACTTTGCCTCCAATTAAAGGCTTACTTAGAACAACTAACACTAAGGCGTACTAGGAGCACTCTCTTGCACGAAAAACAATCACGTCATATGAATGAAGTGATTGATGATGAGTGGGCGAAGCTCCGTAGGTTTGCCAGGAACCCGCAAATCCTCGTTTAATTTTGCCCAGTCGATACGCCGTATACACAAGGTCAATTATAATGAACTTTCCTTCGTCTGTCCATCAGTCCGTCCATCCGTTCATCTGTCTGTCTGTCTGTCTGTCTGTCTGTCTGTCTGTCTGTCTGTCTGTTTATCGACGAATCTCAAGCGTAGTGTGTGCCTCCGTGCCATCTAATGATAAATTCAAGTACTAGCGCGTGGTGGTCGGTAACTACCGAAAATGGGCGTCCGCATAGATAAGGTCGAAATTTCGCCACCGCCCTTACAAGAGCCAAGCACTCACGCTCTGTGATCCAATAGTTACGTTCAGGGGCGGATAGGAGGCGGCTGGCATATGCAATAACGCAATCATGGTCATGTTGTTTCTGAGCTAGCACTGCACCAATGCCATGTCCACTTGCATCTGTACGGGTTTCCGTAAGGGCAGCAGGGTTGAAGTGTGCCAGAATCGGAGGAGTAGTGAGAAAAGCGATGAGAGTCGAGAACGCAGAAGCCTCTTTGGAGCCCCATGAAAACGGGACGTCTTTTTTGGGGAGCTGTGTAAGCAGCCTCGCTATGTGCGCAAAATTTTTCACAAAGCGTCAGAAGTAGGAACATAGTCCAATAAAGCTGCGTACATCCTTCGCAGATCGTGGTACAAGAAAGGTTTCGATGGCGCTGATTTTTGCCGGGTCTGGTTGTACACCGTTGGCGTCTACTAAATAGCCAAGTACTGTGATTTGATGGCGTCGAAATTGACATTTGGACGAGTTGAGCTGCAGGCCAGCGCGACGGAAGATTCCTAAGATGGCTGAGAGGCCCTCCATATGAGTTTCAAATGTTGGTCAAAAGACGATGACGTCGTCCAAGTAGCACAAACAGGCGTACCATTTGAATCCTCTGAGCAAGGAGTCCATAATTCGTTCGAAGGTGGCTGGAGCGTTACAAAGGCCTACGACATGACCCTGAACTGATATAGGCCATCGGGAGTGATGAATGCCGTCTTTTCAGGTTTCATTTTATCTACCTCCATCTGCCAGTAGCCGGAACAAAGGTCTATTGAGGAAAAATAGTGGGACCCATAGAAACAATCAAGCGCATCATTTATTCGTGGCAGAGGGTACACATCGTTTTTGGTAGTTTTGTTGAGGTGTCAATAATCGACGCAGAAATGCCATGCACCATCTTTCTTGCAGACTAGCGCTACAGGAGAAGGCCAAAGACTGCAGGATGACTCAATGATGTCCTTGTCGAGCATTTTGTCGACCTCGCTTTGGATAATGTGACGCTCGGCCACCGACACCCGAGATGCACGCCTAATAGGATGCTCATTACCAGTGTTTATGCGGTGGGTCATACCAGTAGCTTTTCCCAACGGATGGCCACGGAGGTCAAAGACGTCGATGTAGGACAGCAGAACCCGGTGGAGCTCATCAGTCTGCTGCGGCGTTAAATTGGAAGCAATCATCGACGTAATAGTACTGGTGGAGTAAGTGGCAGATTGTTGTTGAGCGTGGGGGTCACAAGGAGCGGCCATCGTGAAAAAATCTACCGCATTGTCTTCTAAGGTGCAGAGCAACGCCAAATAGATCCCTTGTGGCAGCACTTGAGGTGTCAAGCTAAAGTTGACAACTGGGAGGCACATAGAACTTCCTGCGATGGACAGAATGGTGTGTGGTAATATAAGGCCGCGGTTTATGTGGACATCGGTGGTAGGGGTCAGAACATAGTCACCGTTGGGAACTGGTGGCATTGAGACGAGCTCTATGTAGGTCAGTGCCTGTGGAGTGAGGCGTGCGTGTCCCTTTGTGCAGAAGCGACTCGGCCGTTGTGCAAGAGGTTCTGTTGCGGGCAAGTGTAGACGGAGCGTACTGGTCGAACAATCTATGAAGGCAGAATGCGCGGACAGGAAGTCGAGGCCTAAGATTACGTCGTGGGGGCATTTATCAAGGACGGTGAAGAGATCCGCAATGCTCACACGAGCGGAGCACATTCCAACGATAGATGCTATTCCACCATCCGCCACACGGACGAAGTCAGTGGTCGCAGGTGTGATAACCTTCTTGAGCTTGCGGCGAAAATCATTCGTCATCACGTAATGTTGAGCGCCGGTGTCGACAAGAGCAGTGACATGCACGCCGTCTACTTGTACGTCTATAAGGCTCCGTTTTGTCGGTATCGTCAAGAAAGGATCTTCGGTCAGTCCGAGAGATGCAGCACCACCTCCGCGTGGGAAGGCGGGGGAAGACGGTCGGCAGGGCTCTGGAGAATGAGACTGGCGATTTCGGGAGGATGGACCGCGGAAGTAGCGGTGTTGGTGGTCAGTACCAGGTTCCTGGGCAAAATGATCGCAGCTGGTCTCATGGCGATAGGCAGGACCTGCATGGAAGAGGACGGTTGTGCAGGAGGACCCGAGCGACTTCTGCAATGGCGAGAAATGTGCCCGGTGCTGTGACACGAGCCCCGATGCGGTGGTCTAGTGGCTAAGGTACTCGGATGCTGACCCGCAGGTCGCGGGTTTGAATCCTGGCTGCGGCGGCTGCATTTCCAATGGAGGCGGAAATTTTGTAGGCCCGTGTGCTCAGATTTGGGTCCACGTTAAAGAACCCCAGGTGGTCCAAATTTCCGGAGCCCTCCACTACGACGTCTTTCATAATCAAATGGTGGTTTTGGGGCGTTAAACCCCACATATCAATCGATTCTGTGACACGAGAAGCAGATCGGCTTGTCATCGTGTGTTCGCCGTGCGGACGGATCACGGAACGTTGAGGGAGAGCCGTTCGGGAAGGGACGTGCATGCGTGTATTGGGGCTGGTAGTCGGTAAGACGGAGTGAATTCCTAAGCTGGCGATTTCCTGCCAAACGACTGCTTGAATGAGAGGCAACGTAATTAGATGAGAGGGGTCAGGGGACTTTGGTCTCACCTTAGCTGGAGCAGCGACTTCAAGTTCCCGCCTGACGAGTCACGTCAAGTTGTCACAGGGGTCTGGTGGATGACATGCGTGGAGACGCGAGGACGTCGCAGTGATGTTCGGAAGGCGCTGGAACTGATGGGAGATGCGCCTGCGTTTAGCTTGGTGGAACGGACGGCATTCTTGAATGATCGCATCAACGGATGGCACATTGTTAAATACCAACAGGTTGAACGCATCGTCGGCGATACCCTTTGGGATATCCGCAACTTTTTCAGGCTCGGACAAGTTTTCGTCTGCTTGGCGGCATAGTGTGAGGACAGCCTGAATGTAACCGATCTAGGGCTCCGTGAAAGATTGTTCGCGAGTCGACAACTCATTTTTCGCAGCTTCACGACGACCAGAGGTGTTTCCAAAAAGCCCACGGATCTTTTTCTTGAAGCTGTCCCAGCTTGTTATGTCATGCTCATGGTTGTCAAGCCAAACACGAGGGGTTCCTTCGAGATAAAAGATGACGCTTGTGGGCATAAGAGTGAGATCCCACCTGTAAGTGGGGCTGACACGTTTG